TTACCCGGGCTTAGGACCGGCTAGTAACTAGTGGACTAGTTAACCAGGCGAGGTTATATATATGTAAATAACAAATCCTGTTAGTCAGAATCTAAGCAATTGCATGGTTCGTCCACGCAAATCCACTCAATGCTTGGGGGGATTCTGTGTATTTCCGAACTAAACAATGTAACATTTGTGTTAACTTTTATACACTCCAAATAAATGGGAGACCAAACAAGCACTTTAAAAGCCAGTGTTTACAGTCAACTCTCTCTATGTAATGGATGCAGAAGTTAGGTCACCACATTTACCATTACTACATGCAATCCCGATGACTGAGCGGATATAGTGTACGGAGGGTGACAATGTATGCTTGCTTCGTGAAATCCACATTTGGCACATGAAAGAGGAATGAACTTATGTCTATCATGGAGAAACGAATTCTGCAGTCGATGAGGCTGAAAAAAGAAAAACCATAAGCCTTAGAAATAAATAAGAATAAGAATAAATATGTGACTATGAGATATAAAATGCACTCGAAATCTAATCAAGAGAATGAATACTCATCAACTCTCAAATATGATAAGACTCATTGCTGAATCAGACCGTAGCAATGCCTTGCATCTATACTCACATGAATGAAAACATTTTCCTCCATGTACATATTTATGCAACACGGGACTTCTCATTGATTCCTACTCCTCACAAGTGATGTACTCAGACTTCTTCAAACCTCTGTGATCAGTTCCTTCAACCATGCCCTTAACTAAGTGTGCGTCATCAGAAACGTGTTTCAGTGACTACAGTTTCACTTCTAGTCGTTTATGTGTGTGAGTGTGTGTCTGTGCTTCAACAACGACCTCCTACACCAGTGCATGATGATGAAAATCATTTTATAAAAGTGACGTCGATTCAATATATCAATGACTGGTCATATCACGCTAACCGTGAGATGTCAGTGGACAGGCAACTCAGTGCAAACCACTGATCGACTTTCGATGGGAAATTTCTGTGATCCATACAACAACCCATTACTCATACTCCTATATAAATGACAAAGCTTATCAATGAGCAGTTCCTACCTTCACAATGAACATTCTTATGGTAAGTACTTATCAGGCATACAGAAAAGAACTGCATACTGATGACTGCATTGCTCCTTCCAGCTTATCGCCCCTATAAGCTAGTTAATTTTTACGTCACTGAATGCGAAATGGGCAACTGTTAGCTGAATGGGAATCACAGAGTGTTCTGGTGTCATTGCTTTTCCCTCCTCACAAGGAAGTTATTAGTAGCCCAAATCATGGATTTAAGGATACACTTTTACATTCCCACGCCATTAATCCACACTCATTGCACACCATCTTTGTGTTCAGTAAAGAAAACATGGACAGCGATTTGATGCTATTCACAGTATCAACCGTGTATTCGTGGTTTTCAGTAAAAGTGATATGACTATCACAGAGATGTTTTGAAGAACCATCGTCGACCTTGAAGTGAACAAAAAATGAGAACGGATTGGCTGGTGGATCTGTTGATTAACAGACCCATGTACTCATGAAATTCACTCAGCTCAGTATCGTTCCGTCTAAATGAACAGATGAAAAGAGTTAAGTGACACTTGAAGACAGCATTCGCCTTCACAAGACATTGGTGTTATTCGACGAACTTGAATAAGTCAGGTGATATATACCAGTGAATCCGATTTCTCAGAGTTTGAAAACTTTCACTTAGCTACTTTCCAATTACATGGCATGGCAAAATATTCACATTGAAAAGTGGACGAAGAGGAAAATCAAATGTGTGCGTCTTCGAGAGGCTATAAACCTGGTTGATCACAGAGTCAGTAGCTTTCAATTATTTGAGGAGATCACTATCAATGATCGACTCACTTCCATCCACCCCGTAATTTCAGTAATTTAAAGGTCTTTATAAACTATCCCAATCAAGAATACGGATACTGACCAACTTTTGCTCAGCTGGTTCAGTTGCACCTCTCTGAACAGCTTCTTTTGAAAATGTGTTTATGACAGGCAGTATGGGAGAAGACATAGCAACATAATCATGCCAGTCAACAAGCACGATAACAGCAACTTCATCAGAATAAACCACCAACAAACCAACATCTCCAAAGAGGTTGATTACTTTGGGTATGTTCCCATTCAATAATAGTCTTCTAGTTTTCGATTCGATGTAAGTGTACTCATAGCACCACTTTCAGTTGATTTATTGAACGCGTCACACAGTAAAATCATATAATTTACTGGATTACTTTTCGACAGAAATTAATTTCCATTTTCATATCAAGATTACTCCAAGGCCTCGAGTTATCATTTGCATACTTCTGATTATCTCTCCTTCTTCGTCATGTAGTCAAGCAGAATTTTTCACACATCTAGAGCAGCCGTGGAATGATTCCCGCTCCACCTGTCCGCTTGCATTCAATAAACAAGCATTCACGTACCATCACCCCTCCACTTTACTGCGCCAAACTTTGCGTCATGCATGGCGAAGTAGATAAATACTCATCACATATCACATCCAGGGCTGTCTACTCAATTATTTGTGTATATTAAGACAGGCACCCTCTAAGGACTGATGAACGGGCTTTTATGCAATTCCTGAACATATTCCACAAGACTTGAAATGAACTAGAAACGAATTCCAATAACTGAGAAAATATTCATATCTGCAATGTCTTGTTACATAAAGGTCACTGCCGACAGAAGCTTAACATATATCTTTACAATTGGGAAGGGATCAGTGGTAAATGTACAACTGCTTTGACAAATGTTTATGCATGTCTTAATTCAGCCTTTTGTTTTTCATACTAACTACGACTATAACTCAGTGAGTAGGGTGAAATATTCCTCCTTGTTTCCCATTACTCTCACACTCCTGATTATTATTATAATTGGTATATTACCAACTACGTAGTAAAGAATATTCTGGAGTCGTCATTTTTTTTAAAAGTGACAGAATTTGCACTTATGCGAAATTCAGTTTTCAAAGTTATATAGGATATTTTACTAGTGAAGAGAAAGCAGAGAAATATATTGAGTTCGTCGACACGTCACAGGCATGTTTATTCTTGCTTTACTCAATATGTACTTGTGACAGTGAATCATACTGACTAAAAACAAAGGTTTTTTAACAAGATCCAGTCAATATTTTACAAGCTCACCTACAAAATTATTTCAAAAAGACGACAATTTTCTGTAGACATCATGAGTTAAACTCGACACAGTCTGACAGTGTTGTTTCTGGAATATTCAAATAGTTTCCACCTCATATGCCAATAGAATTTTGAAATGTGTACAATATGAAAATGTGTATATCAGCCTCACTATCAAATAGGGCATCAGTAATTACACTGCCAAATGTGCATGCATAATTCAATCTCATATTACACTCTCTTCAAGTGGGAATTTTGTCATTACTCATCCGGTTTCGGATATAAATTCTACTTCTGTGAGGTTCGGATTTTCACCCACGTTCTGTCCATGTGACCGGTTAATGGATAGAAGTTTGTTGTCCATCACCACCCACCACTATCAAAATAGAACCAGGCATTACTGAGTAACGGTTCGAGTTGCTACAGCTTATCCTATATCAGTACACCAAGTAAAAAGGCAGTGAAGTGGAAGATGAAAATAAGGGAATTCACTCAAAAGAAATATGAAGCACGAAAAGAGAGAAAGGAAGAATGAGAAAATGGTGAAATTCGGTATAGCGTCGTTAAAATGAGGATAATCTGTGTATACATCTGCGCCACTGATATCGGCTTTCAGCCATATCACATCGAAAAAATTCAGTAATTCGATACTTTCATGTACACGTTGTCATTCTTCATGAGAACTGGAACAAATTGTACAGACTGATCTTTTCCTGGGCTTTTAAAATTGGCATGACAGCTTTTTGATGTAACCACATCATGCGAACCCATAAAATGAACAGATGTAATATTACTATGCTCCAGCATTTGTGCTTACTGTGTTCGAATAAAGCTATCTCCTACATCATATGAAGAACACAGACTAAAATGAGAATGACGGTGATTGTTCAAACCTTAAGCATAAGAATAGTTGACTGTGGAAAAAACATAATGTTGGAGTAATGGAAAATAAAAAAGTGAAGTGAAGGTCAAATCACAGATATCATCCAAAAATACCAAAATATTTGCATGTACATGATTGGAATGACCGTCTGAAAAGGTAGATATGCAAGAAAATCAAATATGAGACATACTGCTAATTGACTTAAGAAACAAAAGGTGCTACATATATATTCATGCCAATAGACGAAATTGGAATTTATAAAAATAGTGTTCATCCAAGTGTAATTATGAACACCAAACAAGTGAGCTGGTGAGCAATGACATTTTTACACTATATTATTTTCCTAAATATTTGAGAATTTTTAAAAAGACAGTCTTAGTAGTTCTTAACTTCAACCTGACCTACTGGACTTCAGTAGGCTGTTCTCAACTAATTTGTTCTAAAATGGTTCGAACGAATGCACTCGCTGATAAACGGAGTCAAGACTAATGTGGCTATTGGCTCAAACCATGTCAAGAACGAGGATTTCCGTAGTTCTCAGTCTTCACACCATTTTGTATTAGGACTAGTCTGACTAAATAAACCTATATCACATAGTACTATGAAAAATGGCGCAAACATATTTTTGTTCTTTCTCTTCAAGTGCACCGCAGATTAACTAAAAATTGGAAGGATGAAAATAACAAACGTGTGATATACACTTGTGACAGTTTACATAAAAAGTGACAGTACAAAGATCAGAAAATACTCGCATTTTTTACTGGCTACCTGCTAGTTGATTGTGATCCGTGAATTTTTTAGACTGGCTTTTTATTGCATCAGCTTCAAGTAGTCCGTCAACAACTCTACACATTACCTCATACTATGTATGTGAACAAAGGTCTTTTAGATCATTTAAAGTATCTATTAGTCGTCGTTCAATAGCCAGATGAGGAGGATGAAAGCACTGTTGTTGTTCAGTATTGTGGCTGCTTTGGCTGTTGGACAGCAGATAGATATTGAGTTGGAAGAAATCTGGAAACAATGGAAATCGAAATATAACAAAGCATATACTTCAGATGATGAGGTGAAAAGACGAGCTGTTTTCCTGAAACGCGTTGCCAGAATTCGGGAGCACAACTTGAGGCACGATCTGGGTTTGGAAGGATATACAATGGGTCTAAATGGATTTAGTGACATGGAATGGGAAGAAATAGAGGCAGTCATGTTTCCAAAGACCTTTGGCAACAATCCGTCATGGAATGATAAAGAGGAATTAGAACTGTCCGACAAGCCATTGCCGGCAAAATGGGACTGGCGGGATCATGGTGTGGTCACTCCAGTGAAAAATCAAGTATGTGTGAAACATTAAATGACCAGATATCTTAGGGAAGTTGTGGATCCTGCTGGGCGTTCTCAGCCTGTGGAGCGATCGAGGGTCAGCTGAAGAAGAAGCACAAGAAGCTGACAAGCCTCTCGGAGCAACAACTCGTTGACTGTAGCTATGATTATGGAAATCAGGGCTGTGATGGTGGCTTGATGGACCAAGCATTCACATATGTAGAGAAATATGGTATTGAAACAGAAAACGACTACAGATATAAAGCAAAAGTAAGTCAGATTTTCTCTCTTTCGTTATACATGTGTTATCATCTGAACGTTTTCACCTACACTTTCTGCATTCAATTAAATGTTTTCAGGATACCAAGTGTCATTATCGCGAATCAAAGATAGTTGTTAAGGTGAAGAAATTCGTTGACCTACCGTCTGGAGATGAGAAGAAATTGCAACAAGCCCTTCGACAACATGGGCCAATTTCAGTTGCCATCGATGCATTGGACGACCTATTCATGTACGAGTAAGTGATGCCAGTTATTGATAAAATTGACAAATTTTTACGACCTCTTAAATAAAGTATCTTGAAATTCATATACTACCGAACTGCACCACATTTATCAATACTACATCCTACATCAAATCAGCAAATGTGATACACAGTCACATTCTACTTAAATTTCCATGTTCTACTCTTACGTTTCAAATTTATTCGTGCTGTGTAAAAAAAAAAGGTCTAGTGAAGTAGTACAACTGTAAACATAAAAGTAGCAAGAGAGATATATTTTTCGCAGAATAGATGAATGAAATGAAAATTTTCATACTCATTTGTGAACAATTTCCTAATCTGTTTGCCTCTCAGTTAGCAAGTGGAACTTTCTAGTCTTCAGATGCCGATATGCTAATGTGACACCACATTACCTTTAAATTCTCTTTTCTTTCTTGGAAATAAACCAAGCACTCAAAGTAGTTGAAAACACACCATCGAAAGTTCAGTCTTCTGCTTGCAGCCATCTGCATAACCCCTAAGATGAAATCGGAATTAACCAAAGCTAGGCACAAACGGCTTATCTGGGTTACATGAAGTAAAACAGACTGCGCACACTTTGCTGACGATTTCGCTTCTGAACACAGAGTCATTAACAACTCCCACCTCTCTTTGTTAAACATCAACGCTGCTTACTCACAATCGATTAGTTATGTGATACCTCTCACTGTTAATTTGATTTCAATCTTGGTGCGACACTGTTCGGATAAGGACACGAACATATCAATACATTTATGATAACTTCCGCCTTACAGAATTTCATTTGACTGGACAACGTAGATACACCTCTGTTGTCTTCGATGCAAGTATAGAATCTGGGTAGTGTGGTTCAGTTAAATTGTCTATTGGATTAGTCTGCTTGGTAAAGCTTACAATATTATAGTGTCACTTTCACGATGAAGTTGCTAGCTCACTTTACTGTTCACATTCACACCAACATGATCACACATTGTCCGGTCTCAGATTTTCATATCTGCACTAAAAGATCCGTCTTCGATGTAATTTGTAGTGCAGATTTTCGCATATATGGATTAGATGATGCATCACTCTGGTTGCACTTGAGAAATTTTATGCTGAAGGAAAGCGATTTTATGACGAAAATCCCTTCTTACATAACCATGTTATTCTCTACGACTGATAATCGAACCCATTATGCCACACGTAGATTAAGTGAAAGTTTTCGTCATGATTGATTATATCAGTCAGGTTGCCCAATCTTTGCACTTGATCATTCTAATTTACAGCTGAAATGATGCACCTGAATATCTAGAAGCATGATTTTCTCACCGTCACTAGCTACAAAGTCATTTAAACTGGTCGACGTGTATCCAGAGTACAGACAGTCACAACATATCAAGTAGTCACCATCTCGAATTTCAATCAACCTGGTCACCATCATGCCCACCAGTCAACCACAGTCCATCAGAGTTAAAGCCGCAAACTGTGGAATATGTTTAACCGGTAATAACACAGCGGAATCTATTGACACATACGGCAGGAATGATTTAGCGTACTCCGTTTCCCATAAATGACAAGTTAGCCCAACCGGAATCTTCACCACATCAGTTGGGAAATTCCATTCATATAATACTTTTGAAGCGAGTAAGCAACCGGAGTCTCCTAATGCCTTCAACTATTCGCGGACAAACTAGAACTTGCAGGAATCACAAGTGACACTTCATTTCAAAGATATTCATCACCTTCAGGTAGTCTGAAATCCTACTACATATGAGAAAACGAGAAGTCTAAGAATATCGATTCATTCCATCAAACATGCCTTGTTGCCGCTACGCTGTTTAAATCGAAGGAAGCCACCTCTCGCTAAATTGACAGTTTCCACATATTTACGCCTAACTGCACAATTATAGTGATCACTGACTGCAAACAATCATGACAGCAGACTTGGTAAAAGGGGAAAACACAAGAATGACTGTAATTAAATGCTGCTCGTATTTTCAGTAGTTGGACTACGGTCATATCGAGTAGTTATACATAATCACGTGGACTACCACTCCTACACTGCAGTGAACGTAGTCATCATAACTGATTGCACCTTGATACCTGAAAAGTGGGAGGAGAGAGTTAAAAGAAAATTAACCCTAAACATGAGAGCGAATCGCAGAAAAAGTAAGCGATTGCATACTCAAACTGATCCAAAACCTGGAATGATGTGACTAGTCACTAATATATTGAATCGACGTCACTTTTATAAAATGATTTTCATCATCATGCACTGGTGTAGGAGGTCGTTGTTGAAGCACAGACACACACTCACACACATAAACGACTAGAAGTGAAACTGTAGTCACTGAAACACGTTTCTGATGACGCACACTTAGTTAAGGGCATGGTTGAAGGAACTGATCACAGAGGTTTGAAGAAGTCTGAGTACATCACTTGTGAGGAGTAGGAATCAATGAGAAGTCCCAAGTTGCACTAATATATGCACCAAGACAAACAAACATCTTAGATACCGTTAGTTTCATGTTTTCTAAGGCTGCTATTGGCCTTTATGAATCTTGCTGTTCCTACACCGATTTGGTTTATCCATAACACTTCCAGTTATTCTTTATATCAACCACCTTGTAATACTCAGTTATCAAAAAGTCTCACAACGTCCCTTGTTCGCATCTATAGCATGGTATATTACTCTTCCAATCCCTAATACGATGTGTCGTACACCTAGGTGTATTCGGAAAATGTTTGGGAGCTTTCGCTAGTATTTGAAAGTAATCTAACTTGAGAACACACAATGAGTTGCATACTTTTAGAATAGCTCCATTTTCCCGGAATTGAGCAGTGAGATGTTCGATGGTTTGGATGGCATCCGGCTATTATTTCTCTCCACCTTACTCTTGTTGCAATCATGGACATACACGAAGAGGTCTGTTTTTGTGTCCAGGGGACTTCTCATGGTCACCTCGAAGGAAAATGCCATCATAGGACACCGCGATGAAGAATGAAGTTCTTTCTCATCCTCAAATGTTCACGTGCAACTGATTGATGATGTCACTCTTAGAAATCAAAAGGCGTTATTTCCTACAGATCAGACGCCTGCCGAAAACACATTACAAAACGTTACACCAGTCAGAAACCTGTAGGAGAAAGTAGGATGGAATTTAAGAAATAACCGCATCATATTGAACGGCAAACATCATTAGCGTGACCCAGCAGCAGTTGCTAAACAACTGAATATCTTCATAGAAGTTAGTCAATGAATGCAACTAATTGAATTCATGTGAGAATATAGTTAGTCACTTCGAGACTGTAATAAATGAGATCCAGCAGTTCATCGTTAATCTAAGACGCCGAATGAAGCCAATTTTTGGTAAGTGAGGATGTTGCAATTTATTACCTGAAACTAATAATCCCAGTTGAGTGCATGGCATTCATGAGGCTCATAAACCAGTAATTCCAGTAATTTACGAAAACATCGACATGCATCAAATCCACCTACACACCATTAGTATCATGTCCTGTTAGAAAGCGAAGGAAAGCTAGAAATGAGGTAACTGCTGAACAGCATTCACTTGGGAGGGAATAAGGAAATTATTAGTTTTGATGAGGGAACTTAACAGACCAATGTACTCATGAAAATGAGTGTGGAGGTGGTCAGAAATCAAATGAATAAGGATTTCGAGCTCACACATCCAACAACGGTACCAGTTGACTACTTGACGTCTGCCAGCTTGTCCAGTTCTCAGCTTTGATATAAAAGACGTCTAGGAAGGCAATGTTTCACAATTCGATGAGCTACATCTTTGGTTAGCCTAGATATAATATGGACAGTTATCTGCGCATTACTCTCCAATGTTTATTATCCTTTTCAGAAGGTGTAACACGTATATATATATATATATATATATATATATATATATAATTTTTATTTTTTTTATTTGTCCCTTGGGTTCCTAATGGAACCATAGGGCTTCAGTAGCACGTCTCCATTCCACTCTGTTCTCTGAAATCTTTTGAACCTGGCTCCACGACAGCCCAGAATCTCTCATTTCTTCCTCACACAATCTCCTACATGTCACCCTCGCCTCGGATGTCCAACTCGTCGCTTCCCATGGAGATTCCGCTCGAGGGCCTGACGCGTGATGTCCCCAGTCGGCCTTCTCAGTGTATACCCAATCCAATCTTGGTTGGTTCGTTACCCGGCCAGAGTTTCTTGCTGCTTATTCTTATTGCCCTGGTCTTCTGATCTTCACTATTGAGCGTAAAAGGTTGTTGATGAATGTCTGTAGTTTGTTGGAAATCCCTTTCGTAACGCGCCAAGTCTCTGAACCATGCAGAAGCACTGACTTGACGTCGGTGTTGAAAATCCGCATCTTGTTCCACATGCTAAATGCAGAAGATCTACACACTGGCTTCAGGCTAATGAAAGCCTGCCTTGCTTTTCCGATTCTGACTTCGACCTCCTCGTCAGTGCCACCAGTAGTTAAGACTGTGCTGCCTAGATAAGTGAAAGAGACTACTTCCTTCAAGTTTCTCCCATTGATGGTCATTGGTATTTGTTGTTGTTGGTGGTGGTGGTGTTGGTTGGGCATCTTCACCACCTCTGTCTTCTCTACATTCACCTGAATTCTGGTCTTCGCTGCCTCGCCTCTTCTGTCAACTTGTTAGTTTTCGCCTGTAGATCCCCGGGTTTGTATGGCATTAGACACAAGTCATCGGCGAAATCCGAGTCTTCTAGATTCTTTTCCGCGGTCCAGTGTATCCCCCTCTCCTCGCTTCTCACTGTTTGTTGCATGATTCAGTCGACCACAATCAGGAATATCATGGGTGGTAGTGGGGAGCTTTGTCTTACCCCTGTCTTCACTTCAAAGGCATCACTGAGCTAACCGGTGTGAATTACTCCGCATGTGGCATCTTCATATAGTTGTTCAATGAGGCTGATAAAAATTTATCATGTTCCGTAGTGTCGAAGCAGTTTCCAAATTACTTGTCGGTTGCACTGTCAAAGGCCTTTTCAA